TATCTCCAGTCAGAAAGTCCTAACCTGTAGGAGACGCCAACATCTGAGCAAGATGATTTGCTACTGAGGCGTGGACCTCAGGCCATTCCTCCACAGGAGTTCCGTGTGGGAGGAGCCTGTGCCCTGAGCACGTAGTCATTGTTAATTATTCCCTCACCTGTGTTGTTCTGGCTCAATAAAAGGCTGGCAGCGGTTGCTCCGGAAAGTAAGGGCTAGCCCGCCTTCCACAAGCTTGTACTTCTAATCCGCTTCTCGCCTGCTTCCTTCCTGCGCTGAAGGAGACTAGGGCCACAGGAGCCCAAGGGGGTGGGACACTAACCCACTGTACCTTTCTCATTGGTCAGTTTGAATCAAGTGGGAGGAGTTGTTCCAACCCCCACAGAGCTATAGGATTGCACAGAAGTAGAAATCTCCAGGTTCCAGGAAGTTAAGTCTTTAACTTCCTAAGAGCTAAGTCACCATGAAGAGGACCCTGCAGGTGTATCTTTGTGGTCTCCTTGAGAAGATCTGTTGTCCTAGACCTCACCCTTCCCAGGTATCCTCTCTCAGGTTTACACACGGATTATATCTCACGCCATTCCTGAGAAGTGGATTGGAAAAGATAATGTTTTCTGGAAAACAAGGAGGAAGTCACCTCAGTCTCCAGAGAAGACTGGCCCCAGAAGAAAGAAGGAACTAGCAAAGAACAGTCTCACTGTTGTTCTAGAACCGGTAAATTGATCCTCATTAAGCAGAGGAGCAGGGCTTACTCCCTGAAGGCTCTGCTGATAATTAATTCCTCCCTCCTCCGGAGAATACCAAGAGATCTTCACCCTATTTCAGCTCCTCTGCTCCTAGATGGTTACTACAGACAAGATCACCTCTCCTCTCCAGGAAAATCAGACACTGTCAGAGAAACTTCAGGTTTGGATTCCCCTCTTGTTCATGAAAGGAGATGATTTAATTAACAGAGTTTCCACAGTTAGTAAAGTTTGAGTTATAATTCAAATACTAGACTTTTTACTCCAAATCTATTGCTTTTCTACTATGCCTTAGACTTCCCACATTTCTCACAAAGGGGAAAAATATTCCTATTTTCAAGGGCTTTAAAAAAGTGAAACAGGTGTGACAATGTCAGGTCCAGACCAAATGAAGATGAATGAGCTACTGCGATCAGGCCACTAATGCTGCTTCTACTCCACTGTGCCTTTAAGGGGGAACGTAAAATATCAGAGAAATATGACATTTATAACAAAGTTATATTCCTCTGAATTGGTACTTGTCACATAGACTTAATCTTTTTTTTTTTTTTTTTTTTTTGGCAGTTTTTGGCTGGGCTGGGTTTGAACCCGCCACCTCCGGTATATGGGACCTGCGCCCTACTCCTTGAGTGCCCTACTCCTTGAGCCACAGGCGCCGCCTCTAGACTTAATCTTTTTAATGATCTATCAAAGACCTTCACACAGCATAGCAGAATTCTTGTGTTTGTATTCCTTAGTAATTCATTAGGTTTATTCATTAGCCATCAATGAACTCATGTGATGCCAATGTAACTGATTCCATAATGAAACAGTCCAATCCACTGGAGGAGGTTAGCTGTGGTTGTTTCTCTTGTGTGAGTGAGGAGTGTCGCGGAAATGACTAAATGCTTAACAGCCTTGATCATGAGTGAAGTTGATACAGAATGACTTTAAAAGGAAAAAAGTTAGACTCTTCGGCTGTCTGCTGGCAACTCCCCTTTATGAAAGATAGACATGCGGTCTCAGAAATTTATTGGGCCCCTAGACTAATCACTTTAAAAGCAGAGAGGAGAAAAGAAAAAGACAAAACATGGAAGTTTATGGTATTGGTACCAGAACTATCCCACCAAGAGCCACATCTATCTATCTCCCCTTTCTCTTCTCTCTCCCCTTTTCTTTCTTTCCTTCCTTCCTTCCTTCCTTCCTTCTTTCTTTTTCCTCTATGTTTTTTTTTTTAAATAAGAGTTGATGTGTGAAGTCCCCAGCAGTCCCCAGCATATGAGCCTAGGGGTGTGTCATTTTATTTAAAAAAAAAAAAAAATTGATTGATGTCTACACAACTGTCGACAAGGCATCTCACTCTGTCTCCCTAGGAAGAGTGCGTGGCATCGTCATACCTCGTAGCAACCTGAAACTCTTGAGCTCCAGAGATTCTCTTGCCTCAGCCTCCCCAGTAGCTGAGACTACGGGGATTGGAGGTAGGGCGAAGTCTCGCTCTTGCTCAGGCTGGTAGTCTCTGGTCTCTAAGATCCTCAGCTCAAGGAATCTACCCACCTCCACGTCCCAGAATGCTAGGATTACAGTCAAGAGCCACCGGGCCCCACCTTATAACTTATTTCTATGGAGCTGTTCCACAGAGGGTAAATGACTCTCAAAGCCCAGTGGGGAGGCAGTGTGGGGAGGGGAAAGATCCTAGACATTCTCCTCTTCAAGGCCAAGTCAGGTCAGCGCCTAGGCAATTCAGTAACTATTTCTCCTGTAAAATGGAAAAGATCAGAAATAAAGGTCAAAAACTTTAAAAAAAAAAAAAAAAAAGAAAAGAAAGAAAGAAAGAAAAGCCACACCTATAAAAATCGCATTTCATTTACATACATTAAGATAGAGTCTGGCAGAACCTGGGGAGATTATGTTTAGCCCAAGCATCTTTCATGACATGCAAATCAGCAAACCCCGAGTTTAAAATTACCTAGAAAGTATTTTTCAGGCTCAGCGCCTGTGGCTCAAGTGGCTAAGGCGCCAGCCAC